CCGATAACTCCTTCAGCGATCATTTCACCGGCGTTCTTAAATCAATTCACTCATCAACTCTCATCAAACATGAACAATCATTTAGGCATGTTAAAAAATTAACTGGCACATTTCATAGGCATCGATTCGCATAAAGGGCAAAACAAGACAAAGCAACATACTGGTCCCATAATGTGTACACCAAGCAATCGATCAGTTTCTTTATCGCCCAATACTTTCACAAAACCTTCAGTTTCGTTGTTGGTCTTCGCTCGCGAATTGGCCGTGAATGGGAATTTGCCGACCTTGTATTTGACGTTCTGAAATAGGAAAAAAAAACACTGCTGTCATTCATTCATTGAAGCAACAAATTAATTGTGTACACATAAACTCTCAACACTTCGCACAACCTAAAATCTCATCGGAGTCATCAAGAAGTTTAGACATAAAAATGGTAATCACCTCTGCTTTGAGCATTTCTTCTGATTTACCGACCCAAGCAACTTCAGGATGAGTGTAGATAACTGACGGAATGCAGTTGTAGTCGATATGCGTTGGACCGCCAGCGATACCTTCAACGCACAAAACACCTTCGTCCTGAAACATTTACACCTCAAAAACAGTTTTGAGTATCGCACACGCAACATGTTGGCCAATAATTTCAGTGGTAATACACTGAACTAACGGTGTGTTCAACATTCAAGAAGGTGATCAGCTTTTCAGCATAAACAGTATTGTGCAGGAACGATGGGAGAAACGGATGAGAATAAGAGTAATATCTGGGGATAAATAAGAATAGTTTGCTAATAATAAGCTATTATTGAAATAAATAATCAAACAGTTAAATTATATGCTAATATTAAAATAAATAATTATATCAGTAAACACTACTATTCATTATGAACTTGACATCCCCAATGAAATTGATCATGCAATCTAAAAATGATCACTCACTTCAGCTTTGTGTGCAAGCATCGGTCCTTGAATCACATCACCGATGGCGTAGATCGACGGCACACACGTTTGGAATCGTTCATTCACAGGTACTCGTCCCTTTTCGTCCAGTTTAATGCCAACAGTATCGGTGCCCAGTTCGGCAGTGTACGGTCTTCGTCCGACTGATACCAGCAAAGTATCGGCTTCCAGCTAAAAGAAAACCAAAATTCTTCTTGCTCCCTAAAATTTCTCTTCAGAATCCCGTGTCAGATTTCAAAAGATGACTTGAAAGAACATAAAATCTTAAACAACTCACAGTTTCAGCCTTTCCGCCTTTAGCTGCTTCCACTTGAACCATGATCTTAGCACCTTCCTT